CCCTTACATTCATAGGTTAAAATATGACATTGTCACGACCTATGTCTTTACATTCCTAGGTTACAATATGACATCGTTACAACCTATGTTCTTACATTCTTAGGTTACAATATGACATCGTTACGACTTATGTCCTTACATTCTTAGGTTAAAATATGACATCGTTACGACCTATGCCCTTACATTCTTAGGTTACAATATGACATCGTTAGGACCTATGTTCTTACATTCCTAGGTTAAAATATGATATTGTCACGAACCAATGACCTTACATTCTCAGGTTACAATATGACATCGTTACGACTTATGTCCTTACATTTCTAGGTTAAAATATGACGTCGTTACGACTTATGATGTCATTTTAGTGAATCACGAGAAAAATTATGCACTCTGTAGGCTACAACACAACGTGACATACGAACGTCAAAAAAAACAACAAAAAAACAATTGTTACTCTTTATTTTGGTTTTATTACTCCTCATCTCATATTGATTGATAGAACAGTCTAGTTCACAAAGAAGCCGCAGGTCAGCAGCCTGAAGAATCACAGTTTAGTCGCGATGAATCATATCATCGTATTAGAAATGTTGATTTTCTTCCTGGTTAAATAAAGCACGTCAATCAGTGGTGGGGGTGAAGATTCTACAGAGAATCTTTGAGAATGAGACATCTTTTAACAGAACAGTACAGCCTCCGCGAACCAAGCTCGAGGAAACACGGCGCGTGCTCTCTCTCTCTCTTTTTCTTCACCCGTGTAATTAGTTCGGGCTCCGAAAACTTATGTTTCACTAAAATGCATCGAATGTTAGATTTCTCGAGTCTCGCATGTCATTGAACCAATGATTAGCACATAGAAACCTAGCCAGTGAAAGCAAGCGCGTTGAGTTCCTAGATATTAATGACGTTCACTATTATGTACACAATTATGGGGCCAATAGTCGAGTAAGATCCATTCAGTGCAAAAAAAGTATACAGTTAAAACAACGAGGATACATAAACCGAAAGCAATCGGGTAGAATGGATAATATTATTTTAAGGATGTCATTACCCCCGAGCGCAATCGGCCAGAAGAAGAAGCAGCTTTCCTGAATATTGTTGCTTCATCAAACCAAGCGCAACCGGTCAGTAATAATGTGAAAAGAGAAGGGTGGGTATGAAACTCTGCGATTTAAAAGACGATTAAAAGAGGGGGGTGGGGGTGGAGTTGATTTACACGAAACACTGTAGAATTATTACATTTGAATTTAAGAAAATGTAATCATTATTTTATTCATCTCAGTTCTCAATTGTAGTTTTTGTAAACCTGCTTAAACTGTGCAATGATGGCTAACTACGGTTAGGGAGAGGCGCGAGCAGAGAATACTTGGGGAAAGAACACACTCAAAATATAATAACTAACCGAAAATAATTTGAATTTCTTTATTAACCCCCCCCCTTCCTCCTACTCTCGCCGTTTTTTTTTTGTTTTTTTCAGCCGACGTTATTGCTGAGTGTTGTGAGGACATCTAGAAATATCCATGCTGGGTAAGGTCATCGGTCGTGAAAATGTCATATTTTAACCTAAGAATGTAAGGTCATTGGTCGTGACAATGTCGTATTTTGACCTAGGAATGTAAGGACACGACACTACAAACTGTAACGTTAGACGTCCCTTATATGACGTTATTTTAGTGTCTACTGGTTGACTGACAGACAACACATTACTGTATAGTGGTGCGAGACGTTAAAACAGGTGACCCCCTCCAAGCGGCCTTTGGCCCCCTTTTGAAACGATGAAAATATATATGAAGACACAAAACGTTTTTTTTTAAACTCTGAAGGGATTTCTGTCTAAAAGGAGTATCTTTGCTTTTGTATAAAATCGGTTAATTATCACATTTTTAATAACCTCTGAGAAGAATCAGAACACCAGAACTTATTCTGATATTCTGTTTCCAGTCAACTGAACTACGTTTACTCCGGTCAGATTATCAGAGGAAACAATAAGACATCCTGAGATGTCTCATTGTTGTGCTTTGGTTGTTTTGTTTTTATACGTTGAACAATACGGCATTCTGAAATACCTCATTGTTGTGCTTTGGTTGTTTTGTTTTTATACGTTGAACAATAAGGCCACAACAATGAGGTATTTCAGAATGAGGTATTTCAGAATGCCTTATTGTTCAATTTATAAAAACAAAACAACCAAGAAATAAAATGTACTGAAAACATAAGGTTTGTTGTTGCAAGGCTATAGATGACAAAGGAGTTGGCTTTAATGGAATGCTCTTGTCGGTTTGTAGAGCAGGACGACGTTTCGGCTTCTTTACTGAGCCCTTCTTCTGACGTCGAAACATTGGTTAGCGCGGGGAGAAACTCTGTCAAGGGACCTTTCTAACCAATAAAAAATCGCTACACAGCTAACAACTTTGAATTTCACTTGAAGAAGGCCTCAGTATAGAAGCCTTATTGTTCAATGTATAAAAACAAATCAACCAAGGCACAACAATGAGATATTTGAGAATGCCTTATTGTTCAATGTAGAAACAACCAAAGCACAACAATGAGGTATTTCAGAGTGCCTTATTGTTCAGTTTATAAAAACAAAACAATCAAAGCACAACATTAAACGACGTTTGTCTACTATTTATCCTGCCCAAAGATCTCGCAGTAAAGCCATCAATCAGGCGGTCTCAAGAACGTGTTTCTAAAAAAAAATCTAAAAAAAAAACGCCTCGGTCTTTCCACAGTCAACTCTCATTCTTTTACTCAAAACATCGATTAAAATCACGATGTTCCAGATGTTGTCCTAGTCAGTGTATGTAGTTGTATACCACTGTTGTGACGTGAACGTTTTTGTACACGAAATATATCTTTAACGGCGATGAAAGTTTTGACGTAGAGCGATTGATAACTGTCAGTAAATATCGGGCGTTTACTAACTGGTATGATGCTCACTGCTGTCTACGGATCTCACTAACAAATACGTTACGTCAGCGGTGAGACTCCAAACGTACATAATGTTGGAATCTTTGTGCTTTGTCGACACAGTGAAAGCTAAGTTAATAAACAAGAGCTAAAACGGTTGCATTTCTGACGACAAAAACGGGAATTTTTTGTTTCCGAGAAAGAAATGTTGTAAGAAGTTATAAAAAGGTGTCTGTAAAGTAACTAAGTAATGCATTGTTAAAAAAGGTGTCTGTAAAGTAACTAAGTAATGCATTGTTTAAAAAGGTGTCTGTAAAGTAACTAAGTAATGCATTGTTTAAAAAAGTGTCTGTAAAGTAACTAAGTAATGCATTGTTTAAAAAGGTGTCTGTAAAGTAACTAAGTAATGCATTGTTTAAAAAGGTGTCTGTAAAGTAACTAAGTAATGCATTGTTTAAAAAGGTGTCTGTAAAGTAACTAAGTAATGCATTGCACACTACTGTTTATGGAGTTTTTATTTAGAATTACTTCCCGATTTATTAATATAGTGAATAAAAGCAATATACTGGTTGTCTCAGCGTTATGGGCTTACAAGGCTAAAACTGGAGGTTCGATCCCTGTTGTGGAAAAAAAGCGTAGCTTATATAAACGAAATGTCAGTTCTCCTCCAATAGAAGTGCGGGAATGCAATCAATCAGGTTTTGTGACGTCACAAATCAATAGGGCCGAATCTTGGGTTTGTTTCGTAGGTTTCAAATGGGAAGATGAATTTGTTATATTTTCCACACAATGAAATACACACTCAAGCTGATAATGTTACGTGAATAAAGCGTGTTCATCACTTGTAAGTCATCTCACTGCCGCTCAAAAGGTTTTGAAATATTCCAATAGAGGCCGTTACCTTCAGTGAAGTTTGTTTCGCGTTTTATTCATACGGTATCTATGGGAACGTAAACGACCTCTTCATCAAATGGGAGGGATGCAAAAGGATTACTGTATAATCTCGTCATCACCGACTCCCCTCTGACGACAGCTTCAGTCGGAACCACGTGTGGTGCTCCTTCGGAGAATGTGGTCAGTTTCACATCCTGGTACTTTGTGTTATGACCTTTTGAAGACCAATGGTCAGGAGTAACCAGCTTAGCAGCACCGTTACACAAGCGACGTGACACCTCAATCTCAGAGTCGGACGACTGCTGCTGGATAGGAATAATATTGTCTCTTGATTTTCCGCCAGAACTTTTCTCTTTTGTCGTTTTCAGTGATCTTAGACGATGGCACGCGACCAGCAACAACAAAAATCCACCAATCGCCACCCCCATGGTAATTGGTAGGGAAATTAGCAAGACATCGGGTTTGTTGGTCCATTCATTCTTTTCTTCTTTCCTGAGATTATAAGACTTTGGCTCTATACGTAGAGTAGAAAAAAAAACAACAACAAAGTTTCCCCAAACTTATGTCACATGACTGCCTAACTTTGTTGGAAAATGTGTGTGTATGCAACCTCAAACAGCACCTAAAACAACATAGCAACCGAATCGTCTTGGTAACAACACATCATAGCAACCAAAACAACATAGCAACCAAAGCATCATAGCAACCAAATTATCATGGTAACCAAAACAACAGAGAAACCAAAGCATCTTAGCAACCAAAACAACATAGCAATCAAAGCATCATAGCAATCAAACAACATAGCAACCAAAGCATCATAGCAACTCATACGTTCACAGGGTAATTTTCAAAGCCTTTTAATCCAAAACAAAAGTAGGCCTAATTATAATCACACAGTCTGGGGAAACACTGACCCAGTCGGTTGTGAGAAACTCAACTTATCTAACTTTAACTTCAGTCTCGTGCTCTATACCATTGCTTCAATGTTTCCCTATTAGTGTCAGCTTCAGTCTCGCACTCTATACCATTGCTTCAATGATTCCCTATTAGTGTTAACTTCAGTCTCGTGCTCTATACAGTTACTTCAATGTTTCTCTATTAGTGTTAACTTCAGTCTCGCACTCTATACCGTTGCTTCAATGTTTCCCTATTAGTGTTAACTTCAGTCTCGTGCTCTATACCGTTACTTCAATGATTCCCTATTAGTGTTAACTTCAGTCTCGCACTCTATACCGTTACTTCAATGTTTCCCTATTAGTGTTAAATTCAGTCTCGTGCTCTATACCGTTACTTCAATGTTTCTCTATTAGTGTTAACTTCAGTCTCGCACTCTATACCGTTACTTCAATGTTTCCCTATTAGTGTTAACTTCAGTCTCGCACTCTCTACCGTTGCTTCAATGATTCCCGATAAGTGTTCCTTAATTATTATTTTTCTAGTTGCGAACGTTAATATAATTTCATATATTCCATCCTTCAATACGTTGGCATGGTAACCCTTTTCTTTGTAACTGTAATTAGGTTCTCTTTAACCCTAAAATTACCGGTTAAGTTAGTGCGTCACGAATCACTAACAAAATTTTAAGTCTATTTTTAACTATTTTCAATTAGGATGCAGTTCGTATTTCTTGGCCACTCAAAGGGAATCGCGAAAAGAGGAGTTCATTAAGTGAAAAGTACTTACTTGGCATGACCGTGAGAAAGGCAGATCTGTAGCTATATCCTAGAGTGTTAGCTCCCAGACACAAATATTGTCCAGTGTCTGACTCTCGCGCTGCCGGAATCTGTAGCTTATGCAGAAAAAGCCCGTCTGGTTTCTTACTGACCTCTGATGACGTCAGAACCTGGAAATATTGCCCGTTGATCTTTACGACGTTCTTACTGTTGGCGTCGGTCTCGTATATTTTCTTCAGCCACTAGAAACAGTAGATATATAAGTACTTAGTTACTTGATCATTAAAACATCCTTAAACAGTTTCTGAAAAGTTGGGTACTCAATCTGTAATGTTGTATGTTTTAATTAAGATGTGAAGTCACTTGGCATTTAATGGTGTGTAAATGTGTTGACAATGTGTACTACTCTCATGATGTGTGTGTAGTCACTTTACATGTAATGGTGTGTAAATGTGCTGACAATGTGTACTACTCTCATGATGTGTGAAGTCACTTTACATTTAATGGTGTGTAGATACGGGGGGAGTCAACTTACCTGGACTGTTCTACAGATGTGCGGATAAAGCCAGTGAAACTCACCTGGATGTGCGGAGTCATTTGACTCCTGACACGACGGGGAGTCAACTTGCCTGGACTGTTGTACAAATGTGCGGATAAAGCCAGTGAAACTCACCTGGATGTGTGGAGTCATTTGACTCCTGACACGACACTGGAATGTTGCTGTTCTTCCATATTCTACTGTTGTGTTAATTGGGTGATTTCCCGCCAACTCTGGCTTACTCGCTTTTGCACCTGAAATACACCAAAACGTTATCATCTCGTATTCATTGTTAACCAAAATGTCATTATCATCTCGTATTCATTGTTAACCAAAATGTCATTATCATCTCGTATTCATTGTTAACCAAAATGTCTACCTATAAAAGGGTAATAAAGTGGAGTATTACTTTGTGTGTTTTTTTTCATTGATTTCTAAAGAACAAAAATCTGAATCATTTCGAGTTCCATAGAGAAAAAAAATATTATTTATTTTGCTCTTAAATTCCTCATTAAAATTCACTGAAAACAGTAATTAATAAAACATAATCAGACAGTATTTTGAATGACCTCTTACGTGTTCAGGTCACTCTTTTTTTTCTTGTAAAATCTGTCCTAATTGCACTTTAACCACCTATATAGAAGCTCAAATTTGGAAATTTCCAAAATCTGAATTTAAATTAGTATTTTGATCGAATCCCTTCATGCTAATAGCAATTTTCAAGTAAAGTTACACAATGGGCTATCTGTGCTCTGCCCACCACGGGTATCGAAACCCTCGTGTTGTAAGTCCGCAGACATACCGTTGTGCCACTGGGAGGCTAGAGGGGGAGAAAAACTAATAAAAAGGCACGTGAAACAAATTTGGCTTATATTTCTTCGATCTTACAGTTTGCTAAAACAGATAAGAGGCGTGGAACTAGGAAACTGTTTTGTTTAACATATTTGAAATCATAACTGAAATTAGTGATGAAAAATGAAATTCAAGCACGTGATTCTGATTTATCATCTTCGTGTATAATTGCAACAATAATAATGATATGGATATATGTAAGAGTTGCGTGTAGTCCCGGGGGTTGTAGGTTAAATATACTATATGGTAAAACTAAAAACAGAAAGGGGGAGGGGCTAGAATAAACCAATTATTGACTAGTAACTTCGGCAAACAAATCATATGTTTCTCTCATAACCAGTCAATAATTGTTTATTGTTACATCGTGAGTAGAACGAACAATAATGTATGACGTAATTTTGTTACATCACAATCGACGTACTCACCTTGAGGTAAGGTCTTAGTCTTCAAACTGGAGTTAGGTCTTTTTAGCCAGTCTTCCTTTGGTGGTTTCTTGTCAGCTTCTGAAAAATCCAAAATATATGTTACCAAGTTCGATTCCGTGTAGTCCTGACTTAAACTGTAATGGCAAACCTATTTGTATATTTATCTGTGCAGGAATTGAATGAGCAAGTAAAGCACTTCTTGAGGGCCTCTTGGGCAGAGACTTTTAGGAGGCAAAATACAGATCTAAAATTATATTTTTACCCACCTATGACAAATTGGGATGAAAGTGAAAGGGGGAGGAGCACCTGTAAGTTACGTAATTTCTGTCACAAATTTTAGGCCTATTGATTACTGATGTTTTCTCTGCTTTCGACGTCTGAAACGCCACTTCTTGTTGAGTTTGTTTTACATCCTGCTTTTTATAACAACGCCACAATATTGTCAGCATAAACTATGCTTTGCTATACGAAAACATTTGTACTTTGTGTACATTGCAAGATTGAAGACATTAAAAAAAAAACAGGAACGGTTGAATAGTGTCGAACAAATATCAATTTTACGTTTTATTTCACCATAAGAAAAAAATAATATATATATAACCCCCGAACAAGAGAAAATAATGTTGCAAACAACCTCTTGTTTCAAGTTTTTGATCTCCAAGTAAACATTATTGACGAGTTGGTTTCAGCAAGCTATGTACATTGGTAGAAAGTTTGAAATATTTAAAAAAATACCCACAACACGTGATACGACTCACTGAGATAATAGATAATAATAATAATACTTCTGATAATATTATTTATTTATTTAATGCTGATTTTCTAGTAAGTGATTGATATCATAGAATACACGTGAAATAATTAAAGAAATATGGACTTATATGTGTCACTATCAGAGTCAGTGCATTCAAGTGGTAATACATACAAAAAATTTAGAAGCGCTCTTTATTGTTTCAATTTAGACCTATAGGTGGCATTAGTTACGTTTTCTTGTGCACGGAAGCACATTATGCTAATATAATAAACAGTAAAATGGTAAACAACTATGTATATTCATAATAAAGTTGTATATTTTGGAGAGCATGCAACGGGTAGTATGTTCCCCTCTAAATAAACAACGTTTTCTTGCATGTACATCTTTTTTTTACCATTTTATTGTTTGTCAAATTTGTTTGTTATTAAGCGCACGATAAACTATCTATGCTCTGAATACCGAAACTTGATTTTTAGCTGAGCCACCGGGTGGCGTTAGTTACACTCTTGTTTCATTTTAATACGCCGTATTTCAACAACAAGAAACAAGGTGATAAGCATCATTATAAAGATTGGTTTATAACTTTAAATATTATGTCTTTTAGCGTGTACTTGTTCTACGTCTTATTTTTCAATTGTTACAATAAAAACAGCTAATAAAATATATTAATTAGCGATTCATGCGCCATCTAGTAAACAATACAATATAACAATACCCTCCTAACAAAGAAACATTTTCCTTAAAAGGAAAAAAAAAGTCTCAAAAGTTTTTCTTTTTCTTAAACTTGCCAAGGTTTATTTTATTTTTGTCATGACGATCACGAAAAAGCCTTGGTAATCCTCAGGAGTTGAACTGAATTTGTAAAACTTAGATTGCTGATCAATGAGGATAGTAAAAAAGAAAGAAGAAGAAAAACGAAGAGGTAGGATGGCTCAGGAAAATACGTAATAGAAAGAATAAAATATTTAGTAATTATATTAAAAATGGACTTTCTAAATATCTGAGGATTTAAAAAAAATTTGATTCCTTCTTAAAATTGTCAAAAATATTAAACTTTTTCTAAAAGTAACTATCTAAGTTTTATAACTAAAAAAAATGCATAAGATCGTAGCGAAAAACAAACATACTTACATACGGAAATAAGTAAAATAAAATAACATTAAATTGGTTGTTTATTGTAGTGAAGGCCAGTCGTTCGGGTTCGACTTTTCACGAGTCACAAAAGTCGTTAATTTCAATAAAATTCCTTAAATGCTTCACTTGCAAAGCTACACAAGGGTTATCTGCGCATGGCCATCCATGAATGTGTTCTGGTAGCTAGTCAATAGCACCTTTGCCGAGGCTGGGGCTAACTGAATAATGGGGGTCTTCTTACACACCAATAACACCAAGGTGTGGAAAGTGTTTTTTACGTAAACGTGAAACGAACCACGAATCCGCGGATTTACAGTCCAGGTACGTTAACCACAAGGCCACGCCCGGTCTGTCAACACACTGCTTCCCTTGTGTGTGTCACCAGTGAAACACTCGTACGATATATTTTCTATAGCATTTTTTTAAATTCAGATTGCAAGCTCCGTCTTTTGGACACTTATTGAAGTATTTATTCCACCCAATTAACTTGCATTTTGTTTAGCTGTCACATGTATCACCGACGAAAAGTTCTCTTCATAATGGTTCAGACTCCAAAGTATTTGATAAAATACGGTTTTTTTGATAATTATGACTTATATTTATCATGTCTCGAACCCCAGATTAAGAACTCTATTCAGTTTACTTACGAGATATGAATACTGATATTTTATCTTTTCTGGATGTTATTAAAATAAAGGAAGCTTTAATGGTAGAAAGAAACGTTTCCTTATAAACCAACGACGTCTCATTGATACTGAGCATACTAAATTAAATGTTCATCTATTTTTATCGCAAAGGCTTCATTTTCTAATATCAGACTCCGAGGCTATTTAAGAAAGATGAATAGGATTAAATGTAAAATATTTTTACTCGAATGTCTTTATCCCTTAAAAAAGCTATAAACAGAGGTATTGACGTTGCTAAAACTGAAACTAATTAGTCGCCTTTAAGATATGAAAGAGACAACTTAAAGACGATTTCTTTCGTCACCTTTAAGATATGAAAGAGACAACTTAAAGACGATTTCTTTCGTCACCTTTAAGATATGAAAGAGACAACTTAAAGACGATTTCTTTCGTCACCATCCGCTTAAGCTTTAATATTGATTATAGGAGTATTAAGACCTTTATTTAAAGGTCAAAGGTAAAATCTGCCCTCAAAATAAGGAGTATAGAGTCGTTAATTACAAAGCTACGCAATGGGCTATCTGTGTTGTGCCCTCCGCTGGTATCGAAACCCGATTTTCAGCGTTATTAGTCTTCAGACCTGTCGCTAAGTCACCGAAGGGGAGGGAGCAAAGATTGTATATTTCACTAGGATGGAATCAACTTTGTGTGTATGGATAGACCTGTTGGGGGTAAATTGTTATCGTAATAAGCAAAAGTGTTTAGTCTTTGTAAAAAAAAAAAGTACAGTCAAAGAAATGATCTCAGACAACAGTCACATGAAACCCGGTTTTAAATCGTGTAACAGTAAGGCGACATTTGTACGATATGTTGACTGAGGAAAGGTTAATGAACTTTCTGGATCGTTCTTTTATTATTATTATTATTATTCACTTCTATTCCGGGCTTGTTGAAATAAATGAAACAGGTAATGATTATTAATGTCTCATTATTTCGCAACTGAATGCAGAATTGAAGGAGAATAGCCAGAAGTAGGTTATTTCATTTTTATAAAGGGCTTTGGGTATTCACTTTATTTGCACTGTTTTTTTTTTATGTAGTTAAGCATTAAAGCTACGCGATGGGCTATCTGTGCTGTGCCTATCACAAGTATCGAAACTCAGTTTTTAGCGTTATAAGTTCGCAGACATGCCGCTGAGCCACTGGTAGGTGGTGGGGGGGGGGGGTGCGCAATTGCACAAACCCGAGGAAAATCTAACACTTTTGATAATTTGAAAAGATAAATTTATTTTAATTTGACTTTTATTGTAATTTATAATCTAATTTTTAAACAGTTTGGAATCTTTTGCCTTATTTATTTATTTATTTTTAAGTATACTTCTTTTCGTTTTTAACGTATAAATTTAACTTGTATTTTCGGGCTGAAGAGTAGCTCTCACACTATGAAACCGTCAAACAAATTTACAAAAAATGTTTGTGTTTGTGTACTTATATTAACACCTTTCAAATAGTACTTTGTTCTATAGAAGTATATAGATGGGGTATTTCAAAAATCGTGGAAAAGAGTCCCCCCCCCCCAGTAGCACAGCGATAAGATTCAAGACTTATAACACTAAAAATTTGATTTCGATACCCGTGGTGGGCACAGCACAGATAGACCATTGTGTACCCTTGTGCTTTGCGCTTGTTAGTCAAGCGCCCCCAGTGGCACAGCGGTATGTCTGTGGACTTACAACGCTAGAATCCGGGTTTCGATACCCATGGTGGGCACAGCACAGATAGCCCATTGTGTACCTTTGTGCTTTGCGCTTGTTAGTCAAATGAACAAATAATACCTTTACATTTCTATTATTGCCAAACACTGAGCTATACTTAAATTAAATAGGTTTTAGAAGTCTCCCTACGCTGTAGTCTCTATTAACTGGGTACTTCTTAAGCATTACATTATTTACTAATACCTGTCGCTCGCTTTCTGAGAAACATCCTCGTTTTGTTCTGTATCTATTATTTTCTGTTCCAAAATGATAAACAAGAACACCATTCTCCTGTATTTCTAAGGACGACGAGGCCTTTTGCTAAATACCAGGGCTCTTGTAACTTAGCCCTAAATCTCAATTAAATAAAGTGCAACATGATTTTCCTCCACTTTTAAGCATCAAACAAAATTAAGGAATGTCAAAATAATAGACAAATTAACAGGAACGAGGTTAAAGCAAATCGAAATGTGATTTGTATCACAAGTGTTAGGCCTAATACTAATGTTATTTGTATCACAAGTGTTAGGCCTAATACTAATGTTATTTGTACCACAAGTGTTAGGCCTAATACTAATGTTATTTGTATCACAAGTGTTAGGCCTAATACTAATGTTATTTGTATCACAAGTGTTAGGCCTAATACTAATGTTATTTGTATAACAAGTGTTAGGCCCAATACCAATGTTATTTGTATAACAAGTGTTAGGCCTAATACTAATGTTATTTGTATCACAAGTGTTAGGCCTAATACTAATGTGATTTGTGTAACAAGTGTTAGGCCTAATACTAATGTTATTTGTATAGCAAGTGTTAGGTCTAATACTAATGTTATGTGTATAATAAGTGTCAGGCCCAATACTAATGTTATTTGTATAACAAGTGTTAGGCCCAATACTAATGTTATTTGTATAACAAGTGTTAGGCCTAATACTAATGTGATTTGTATCAAAAGTGTTAGGCCTAATACTCCGTCAACTTTCGACAGCTTATATTTAATTTTAAAATATTGATTTAGTTTTCGATGTGTTTCAAATGGTTATGATCTAGTATTTGTTGTTGGATATATATATATATATTTTATAAGTCGTCATAATACCCTCATTGATAACAGATTGTACAAATATTCGCGAGACCATTAGGCAAGACGTAACCTAGTGTTCAGCGTAGCGGGTTGCGTATCATAAGGTCCAAAGTTTGAACTCACGATATGCCGCTGGAAATATTCTGTACTTTTGCTAAAAGCGCATTATTGTGTTAAGAGTAGCTGTGTAGGTGTCTGGTGCTTTTGAATTAGTCCATTTAGCCCATAAGATGGCGCTCAGGTTTAAAACAACAAAATCTACTCATTATTGGACTTAGTTCTCACCATATACAATAAGTGTAATTGAAGTTTCCACAGTGCCAAAGCCATTAACAGCCTTACAAAGGTATTGTCCAGTGTCCTCTGGGATAGTATTCTTGATCTTCAGAGTGCCGCTTCGAGAAACCCGGTAACGACGTCCATCAAAAGTATCTAAAATTTGATAATCCTTATACCACTCAAAGAACACCAGATCCTTCTCTCCGTCCACGGGACAAGGAAGGAGAGCTTTAGAACCAGCTTCCACCCGGAGTTCCTTGGAGTTGGCCATGTCCAATAAGATAGGAGGACCTGTAAATATACAAACTGTTTCTTAACGATCTTTAAATATCGAAATTTTGCTTTATAAAAATTGTAATACAAAATGACAATATGATTAGTATTTTGGTGTGCCATCCCGAAAATTATTTCGTTGAAAATTATCACGTACAACGACGATTTAAATCTGCCATCTCGCCATCTTGGTAGAAGTATGTTTTCTAGAAAATTAGCACACAAAATGACAAGGAGATCAATCTTTTAAATCTGCCATCTCGCCATCTTGGTAGAAGTATGTTTCTAGAAAATTAGCACACAAAATGACAAGGAGATTAATCTTTTAATCTGCCATCTCGCCATCTTGGTAGGAGTACGTTTTCTAGAAAATTAGCACACAAAATGACAAGGATATTAATCTTTTAAATCTGCCATCTCGCCATCTTGGCAGTAGTACGTTTTCTAGAAAATTAGCACACAAAATAACAAGGATATTAATCTTTTAAATCTGCCATCTCGCCATCTTGGTAGGAGTATGTTTTCTAGACTTACTCGGACTTACAACTCAGCCACTGGGGGGAAAAAAACGTTTTGAAGACAATTACAATACAAAATGACAATGAGATCGTTTTTTTTATTTGCCTTCTCAAAACTATGGTTCGTAAGAAATTACAACAGCAGGTCATACAGGATGTCCCCCCTCACAAAACGAATCCTCCTACAGTGGCTACGTGGTAAGTCTGAAGGTCCATAACGCTAAAAACCAGGTTTGGATACCCGTTGTGGGCACAGCATAAATAGCCCATTGCGTAGCTTTCTGCTTAACAAAAGACAAAACTGAAACACAAAATATATTAATGAGGTATTTGTTTTTTTGTCAGACCTGAACGGAAATATACATTTAAAAGTTATTTAAACTTAAAACTTAAGTAAAAAAAA